AGAGTTTCCTGTTCAATGCCCAGATTCTGCTCAACTGCAGTAAACCAGTAGTCATCTAAGGAAATTATCTAGTTCTTATACCACACATTTAACAGTCATCCTCAAAGTTCTTTGAAAAGGAGGTGCTACTGCCTTCCACAGTTTCTTTATCTCTGCAACGGTAAGAAAGGAGAGCTGCTCACTGCCACCCAGCCGGTAAAAGCCAAAGCCAGGACACCGCAGTCCCAGCACAGCCTTCTTCCCACCACCCTACTCGTTCCACCTCTCCATAGAGGCCCTGCTGCAGATAGATATCACAGTCCACCAAAACACTGGCCTAAAGCTCAGTAGATGGGGACCAGAGTTTAGTCCCAAGGCCTTTTTTTAAACTCTTCTGTAAACACAAGTTCTACCTACTCCACGCCCATTTCTGCTCTTGTCGTGCAACTTGCTGCTAAAACTGAAGGCTCTTGGGCAGAGAGAAATAACTTCCTACACTGCATTTATGCACAAGAGTTTAGATCAGGAAACCTGATCAAATCTAAAACCTAATTTTACTTTAAGAAGAAGAATGCCTCACAGAGGAACTATCCAGAACAGACACTGCGATTTGAAGCCCCTGTCTCAATGTGAACACTTTTCAAGAGTCTATGAGACCTTACAGTAAACATAGCTGCTTTTTTCCAACAGTTCTTTCTAGAACCTAAAAGTGTTTCCTATACCAAGGCTTGCTACTTCCCTAGACCAACCTGTTTTCCTTCCATTCTCGACAGCATGGAGAGAAACGTTGCTGTATTGCCAGGGCTGGACCAGTACTGCCTTGAGACCCAGGTATGTTCACACAAGAGAGAACAGCAGAAGCACAAAAGGTGCAACAAAGAGCAGGTCAGCAAGAAGCTGAGGAGCAGAGAAATAAATTCTTCTTCTCTCTCCAGCGACTGTTTCTGGGACAGGCTGTACAGAGAGGTTGTGTCATGTCCACCTTGGAGACACTAAGAACTCAACTGGACAGAGCAACAAGCAGACTGTTTTGAGCAGGTCCCTTCCAGCCTCAGTTGCTGTGTGGTTCTGTGATCCATGCACAGACCTCTCTGCCCAGGCAGAGGTCCCTGACTACACCAGCTAGAAACATCCACTCTGACTGCAAGCAAATTCTTCCTTCTGCTAATGCTGTTGATGAAAGCTTGTCTTTCCTGACCTTGAAGCTGTGTTATCTACTTTGGCTGTGAGAAGGCGATAATAGCTCCTGACAATGGCAAGAGTCAGCTCTGAGCCGGTGGAACAGGAAATCCCATTTCTCAAGCCCTTCAAAGCCTGTCTGGCACAGTTTCTCTCAGCAGCACTCAGTGAGATTACTGCACTAAAAATAACACACACAATAAGTTGTGCATTTAGAAGAAGAAAGGACTTGCCCTCAGTGTGGGTTTCCCTTCTACTTGTGGCCTCAAGTATCCCCAGACAGTTGAACTACTAGGGTTTTGTTCTCCAAATTAAGCAGGAGCTGCAGCTGTTGAAGTGGTTTTAAGTAAAATAAGAAGATTAAAGGGTACAACAAAGAAATAAGATACTTTCCAGTTTTTAAACAAGTGTCTCTCTTCCCTCCCTGTTGTTTTCTATAATAAGAAACTCAGAGCTAAATCTCTTCCTTACCAAAACACTCTTGCCCTTCTATCATGAGCTCACATACAATTGGTTGTATACAGGTGAAATAAAGAAAAGGTGGGGGACCAGTCCTGCAGACTTCCATACAGAACATAATGCCTTGTGGGCATTCTGCTGCAGTATTTAGGACAACATCCAAGCCTGTTAGGTTAAATGCACTGTCTGAATCAGCAGGAAAGAAGGCATACCTTGTAACAGTAGGCACAGGATTAGCACTACCTAGAAGCCTTACACAGTTTTGCTGTCTTTACAAACACTGTCTTTGCCTACACCTAGGGAGACCTATTAAAGCTCAGTCATTTGTATCAGATCACTTTCACTAAAGCCAGCCTGACCACTGAGGAAATTTTCATGCATCATTTGCAAGGCTTAGACAATTTGCATTAGCACTCTCCAACAAAACTAACTTCTTTCTCAGCTCCCAGACTGTATGCCTACATGTGGCAATGAGATTTATCCTCATGACTCTGGACTCAGCTTTGCTGTTTATATGCTCATTTGGTGCATATAAACAATCTATTGCTTATATAGCACATTTCAAGTCCTGGCTCAATTAGTAACTGTTCACCTTAAGCACAAACACATTTCTCACGTATGCACCTATTTATGCAAAGTTAACAGCCATTTGCACACACACAAACAGAAAATGCCAACTAGAATATTACACACTTGCCTTGTCTTCAACTTACACCTGGAAGGTCATATGCTGCACTGTTTTACCCAGAAGAAATAAGACAGATGAATTTTACCTAGTAATTTTTTTCAGTACCAAGTCCAAGGAGCTGGGCTCTCTAAGTGAACCAGAGAGCTGCAAAGTTCAGAATCTCAGCAAAATGAAGGGCAGGTGTCACAGCTCACAGGATCTCAACAGCCATCACCTGGTATTTGGTTTGGATGAAGACAATAGCCTCCACCTGGCAGCAGAGATAATCCAACTACCTCAGTCACAGAGGCATACCAAAATCCCCTGCTACATTTATCACCTGCCTTCAGATTTAAACTATATAATAAGACGGATATTTTATGTACAACAGTTTAAATATAAACTCAATTCACTCAGAAGCACAGTCCCTCCTATGCACTACAGATGTAATACATCATCATGTAGCTAGAGTCTGTGTTGTAACATGGCCAAACAAGAAGGCAGAATAAATGTGGGCAGGCCCTAAGCATGAGGTCTTTCACATTGCAAAATCATTTTCTTCTTATAGCTTTTGAAGACCATAATTGGCAATACTGGGGATGCTAACTGTGGATACTACAGGAGACACAAAAAGATCATAGAAGTTTATGAACATTTCTGAAAACAGAACAGAGAGTGAAATAAAGAAGCAGCATCCAGCTGCTGCCAACTGCCGTTAAATCCCATTTCCCCTGTATTACACTCCAGCCCAGCACATTCTTTCGCTTTCAGAGATGCAAATGATACAGCTTGTTCCCACTTCTGGGTTTCCAGTGTTACAGAGACCAAAGATGCAAATGATACAGCTTGTTCCCACTTCTGGGTTTCCAGTGTTACAGAGACCAAATCCTGCAGCACTTGTGATTCTCCTCATCTTTCCATCTTTGTCAGCTCCTCCACTCCCCTTCAGTTTTAGCAGACCAGTGAATCCCCCAAAGACCTTACAAACACTTTAGCTTTTTCTGAGATAAGAGTGTATTTTGTATGAATAACATGCACAACATTCAAGTGATTGCACTCCTGTTCCCCTCTGCCTCTCCAGCACAAACACCTTTGGGACCTCCAGCACATCTGTGTCCCTCCTACATGGACAGGGGATGCCATCTGCGGTGCAAGACTTCATTCCCTACCACTGCAGCAGGTGCTAACATGAATATCAAGCCCGAATATCAAGTCCCAGAGACACTGCCTGCCAAAACCACAACCTCACAGGAACTGGTCTGCCACAGCTGAGTCTGGCACCCTGCTGAGTCTTTACTGCAGCAGGGATGTTCTTGTGAGGCACATCCTCTGCCATTCTTGCCTCAAAAGCTTCATAGCTGATGAACACGTCTGTGGAAGGTGTCACAGGTCACAACCATCCTCATGACACCCCTGAAAGGTGACAGCTACTGTGATGCACTCCAGCACCCCTGATGCACCTTCTCCTACCCATGCACACACCCTCCCTGCACACTGCTAATTACAAGACTGCCCAGTGGGAGACGCCTGGGAAACAACTCCCTGGTGAGCAACTCCAGCTGCACCCGGTAGAGATGAGCTACAGCCTCTAGCAGTGACCACAGCCATAGGGAGGAAGTGGGGTAAACTACTCCTCTTGCTGTCACAGGGGCTGCAAAGGGACACCACACCATGCCCTGAGGGGTGGCAGCTGCCCAGGGTCTGCCTCTCAGGGCAGGGACTTCCCAGCCCCACTCACAGCCCTCACCCTGCCTTGCAGGAGCATCTCCACAGCTGGGGCAGCACCACAGAACTTTCCAGAAGGCCTCCTCCTGCCCGCCCTCCCTCCCTCATGGGCAGCACCCTCCCCTCACTCTCTCCATGGACAGGAGACTCAGCCTGGCTCAGCCAGAGCAGCTCTGTTGGGGACCACCAGAGCGGACACGTCCAGAGGTGGCCAGGATGCGGTGAGTGCAGGGCCAGGATGTCTGCAGGGACAGTGCTGCAGACCTGCCATGAGCCTGGACCTGCCAAGCTCTCCCCAGCCGTGTGGGAAGCACCCACTTCTCCCAGGCACACACCAGCCAGGACAGAGCCGAGGAGGCGAATTGCCAGGTGCAGTTACAAATCCAGCATTAAGGAACACCCAAAAGCTGAGCGATGTGTGATGAACCAGCAGCCACACGGACTGATGAACCAACCAGCAACAAAACCCCAGACCCACAGAAGCCAGGGACGTACCTGATCAGCTTTTTCAAATGTATGTGACTGAGAGTGTTTCAGGCAGGGAGGGTGGAGAAATCCTTCCTATTGCTAAATCTGGAAGCAACGTGAGAAGCTCAGGTTAGAGATGAGAATAATCACAAGCAGCAACAGTTTTTGGTACAGTGGTTTCCATCCAGACCAGATCTAGGGGGTGTCATTGCTCTGAAATCTGCATTAATCTTTCTCAACACGTTACTGCGGAAAACCAGGCCTACAGGGTTAAGCTGTCCTTGCTCTTCACCTGCTCATGGCGTGTCAGCGCTGTGAGGGCGGAGCAGGCTGGGTACAGCACTATGGACCCTGGTGCTGCAAGGAGCCAGTGTTAGTTCCGTGGCCAGGAGGATGATGCTGCCTTACTTCAGCCGCCATCTTCAGCTCCTTTGGTGTAGAAAGCCTTGACACCGTACTTACCGGGTCTGGCACTGGCGAGAAGTTTGTTTTCGTGGACATAAACTGGACACTCAACAGTTTGTATCTTTACTGAATGAATTTATTGGTTTTTGAACTAAAGTTGCTCACAGTTATTTAACAAGGGATACATCAGATTTTTTTGTCCATTTTAAACCATTAAATAATGTCAGTTTGTGTCTGTATATGTGTGTGTGCGCGCGTGTGTCTTCAAAGTACAAAATAGGAAGGATAACAAGAGGTATTGCTTTCATTTATTCTTATATCTTGTGTAAGTAATCCCCTTCCTGCTTGTACCACATGAGTTTTGATGATATAGGTATTTTTAAATTATTATTATTATCTTGTATTGAAATCCCAGCCTTTTGTAGAGGTACAATGTAACAGAAGCATCAAAATCTATACACAAGGGAAGAGAAAAGAGGGAAAAGAAGGACGGGGGTGATGGGAGGGGAGCTCGGAGGAGAAGTAGAGAGAGGGCAGAGGCAGGAAAGACAACGAAAGCAAAAGAGACTAATTTACAGCAATGTCATGCAATTAAAACTGCCCCCCTCTCCTGCACCCTTGCCTCCCCCCCTCCCCAGCCATCATCCCCTGGTGTCTGACATGCACACAGCAATACGAGAGAGAAAAGTTTAAGAATAGGGAAAATAAATAAATAAATAAAGCAAAAAAATTAAAATAAATCCCTCCCATTTGGGGGAATGGGGAAACGGGGCAGAAGTCAAAGGTCTTTGCCCCAGTTGTGTCTTTAAAAATTCTTTTTAATCTTCAAACCTATGTACAAGTAAAACTGGTCCAAGAAGGGGAAAAATGATTAAAAAAACCAACAACGACAACAACAACAAAAAAGAACTCATCCAACATTATCATTAAAAAAAAAATAATCTTGCGATACAACATACACCCATAGGAACCCAACGAGCAGCAATCGAAGGTCATAAAAGAGCTGAACACTAATGCTAAGCCTACATTCTTAAAATCTCAGTCAAGAAGTACTTCTCACTGTGTTTTGTCTTCCACGCGTAAAACCACGTTTTTTTGTTTGTTTAACCTTTGAGCTTGGGCCAGAATAAGTTACACTTGGTCACATAAATCTTGAGGAGGAGGAAAAAAGGCAGCAATTCTTCTTTCTCAAAGTCACAAAATGAACACTTAACAGGGTTTCTGTGTCTTTTTTCCCCCTCCTCCCCAAAATAAATAAGAATCAATGTTGCCTCTACACAGTTATTAAACAGAAGATATATCTAACAGCTTATTTTTTTAAATATATATATATGTATATATAAATAACCAAGACCTAATAACTGAAACACAAAAAAAAGGTCCCCATCCACCCAATCCCACCCTCCTCCCCTTCAAAAAAAAAAACAAAACCAAAACAAAAACTTTATAAAAATATCTTGCAGTAAATTTTAAAGTTTACAGTAGCTTCGTGATTAAGTCTCCCATTGCCCTGACTCCACCTTGTCTTGCTCTGATGAACTAAGTGCCAGTGATTTTGCACACACACACACACAGGAAAGAAAACCCAATATAAGTCTCTTTTCTTCCTCCTCTTCATCTTCTTTTTTTTTTTCTTTTTTTTTTCTTTTTTCCTTTTTTTTTTAAGAAAAAAATCACCCAAGCCAACAAATGAAACTGGTAACTTAAAGAAATAATAATACTGATATCAATGCAGCACTAGCAACACAACAATTGCCTCTAAATGCAGGGTGTGGTGGAGGATCCAGCTGGTCGAAGAAGGTCCCAGCAAGGTGGCACAGTGGCAGGGAGTTGACAGGTGGGGAGGAAGGTGTCGAAGGAGGAGCAGCAGTAGCAGCAGCGGCAACTGTGCCTGGTGACGGGAGAGACAGTCCTTGGCAGAGTCTTGTCCCTCTTCTTTGCTACCAGAAGTTGCCTTTTCCCTAAGTTTTAATGTTTTGTTTGTATTTGTTTATTCATTGAACCCCCTCTCCCTCCTAAGTTTACTCCTTTCCCCTTCCAGCAGGTTAAAAAACAAAATGATACAGTATAAAAAAATCAATTATTTCGTATATATATATGTATGTATGTATGTATATATAAATATACACACATATATACATGTATATATATAAAAAGGGGGCAAAAGAAAAGGAAAAGGTGGTGGGGAGAAAAAAAAAAGGTAAGAAAATCCCATGATGAAGCTCCCCAATATTGTCTTGGTTCAACGCTTAGTTTTGAGTTGCTCCTGGCTGGTTTCTGATGAGAACGCGCTCTGGATTCATGGAACACTGCGCTCCCGCTACACCCGTCTCCTTCCCCACACCCTCCCGCTCCGGGCTGCGTTCACCTGCGCGGACAGAAGTTGCCAAGGGTAAAGATTTCACTCCAGCAATTTGCAACCTCCTTTGAGCCCAAACTCTGCAATCCCACAACTGAGCAGGTCTCTCTCGTGGAGCACCAAAAAAGAAAAAGAGAGGGGGAAAAAAAAAACAGGCGTGCACTGGGGAGGTGTTTGGGGAGAAGTGGGGGAGAAGCCCACTTCCTGAAGGGAGAGGGGAGGCTGGGAACCTCAAACAGGACTGGTCCTTGGACAGTCTACATCGGTTGCCTTCCGTCAACAAGTGTCCGCAGAGCACAGAAGGTGAAGCCGTGGCTGACATGTTAACTTTTCGGGATAATTCCTGGTAGCAGAGCGGAAACAAGTGGTGTCGTCAGAAACACAGAGAGAGCATGAACAGAACAAGAAACAAAACAAAAGAAAACGAAAAAAAATAATAAAAAACCCAAAAAATCAGGAAGGAGAAAAAAATCAAAACATTCAAAAAAAGGGAGGAAAAAAAAACAATCAAAAAAAAACACAACCCAAGATCTGGTGAACTGGGTTTGTCATCTGTGCTACCTTTTCTTTTCTTTCTTTTCTTTTCATTCTTTCATTCGTTTGTTTTTGTGTTTGTTTCTGAGATATATATTATATATCATATATAAATATATATATGTATATATATACAGTCATTCCTTCATACAAAATTTGTCTATAGACAGTTTTGTACTGTTGTGGCAAGGTATATACATCCTTCTAGTTTAGAGGCTAGCTTGCTAAGGAATATTCTTTCATTCTTTCTTGCTTTTTTTCTTTTTGTTTTGTTTTTGTTTTTGTTTTTGTTTTTTTCCTAAGTTATTTAATTTTTTATGTGTTTATTTAAGGTTGGTCTTGTAGGCCGACTGATGAGACCATCTTTGCCTTGTCTTTGCCAGCAGGGTACTTATTGTCTCCTCTAGACCCATAGTCATTAGAACCGGAATCGCTCCGCTTGCTGTTTGCGCTATGCTTGGTTGGCGTGCCGGGGGGATGGCTCACCTGCCCGTTCTTCTCGTCTGAAAAAAGTTGTTTAATTACGTCAAAGAAGTTACTCAATGGGCTGCCTGGGTACACAAAACAGAGGAGACAAAAAAAGAAAGAAAGAAAGAAAGAAAGAAGGAAAAAAAAAAAAACGAGAGGGAAAGAGAGAGAAAAAGAGGAGAGAAAGAGAGAGAACAAACAAACAAATGAACAATGGGGTTTTTAACGAGAAGAACATGATGAGGAGATCCAGAGCCACGTGCGTGGGGGTGTGTGGGGGATGAAGACAATGAGCAGGAAGAGGAAGAGTGTTTAGGATGGGATACCTACGGAAATAAAGAGGCTGGGAGCATAAAGCACCTAAGGGAAAGGTCCTAGTTTTTTCCTGAGTGGGGAAGCATTGCTGTCTCACCTAGCAGGAGGACACAGTACCGTGTGACCAAAACAGTTCAGTCCATTACTTGGAGTCACTTGGCCATTTCACATGGAAATATCCACGAATATGATGCTGGATACAGGCAAATCCCATCTTACTGCTGCTGTTACAAACACAGGGTATTTGCACGTGCCCACCAAGCGATGCTTTGCTTTGCAGCCTTGCTAAGCTCTCTGGCTACACCAGCCATTAGGCTTTCCTTGCTTGAATTTTATTTTCTTCTGAGTATCTCCTTGCCAGCCTGCCATCACTAAGCCTGAAGCACCTGAGTGGTCCAAGGGAAACAGCATCTGAAAAATGAACTATGGCTGAGATGAGTGTTGCCATCTGCATGCGTGGTCTGTGGTTTGTACTCGCAGGCTTCTAAGCACCTTCAGATCTCCCTACAAAGGTACCTGGAAATGAAGATGCTGAATGCATCATGAAAGCAGGCTGTTATGCATCTAACTATTTCTGGGACCTAGCAGAGTCAATAACTATTACCTCATTGTCCTGAATTTCTGTTCTCTCTACAACACAGCCTCCATGGCACTGACATGCACTCCAGTGGAGTTAGGAGCCAGAAAGGGGTTTAGGGTTGTGTGCTAAGTAAAACAGGCATCTCCTTAAGCCAGCCTCTAGATCAGGTTGCAGTATTAACAAGGGTTAGGCACTGTGCAAATGAATACAACCTTTCATACCATTTGGACCTCCAGGCAACAGGGTTTTGTGCTGTTAATTTAGTTCTGTGTCAGAGGATGTGTGGAACGCCACACCTGAGGAAAAGCTTTGGGGTGCTACTGAGGGAAAATGGACCAGCTACTACTGGAAAGGTAGCCTTTCAGGGAATTTCTAGTCCATTTTAATTTTCTTGAGTTGGGGGATTAATCCTTATCAAACATAGGAATGCTCACACTGAACTCTTCAAACATGGATATTGAAGGTGTTTTTTAACCTAATGTACACCATGGAGGTTCTGTCTCTTCATGATCGTTAAAATCCCATGATGGTTTTCTCAATATTGGGACTTTTGGCTCTACTGTTCAGTCAAATTCAAATCATTTACATCTCCAGCTCCTGCAGGGAAATAGGCTTCTCGTATCTGCCTTCCAAGGTGGTGGCATGCTGTGAAGAGTGGAATCTTTCGTCCCCTGCAATGGGAACATTCAGTCAGGAGCAAAGGGCTTCTTCATAGCAGAGATTGCCATGTATCCATAGTTGTTGGACAGTGGTGGCTTGGTAATATTGTATTGCCCTTCACTCTCATTACAAACATAAGTAATCCATTAACAACAGCAGGTAAGTACTTTCTGTGCATGGTAATTGGTCTGAAGAGCTCGCTGAATGCTTTCTGATTCTCTAATGGAAAATGCTAGACAGACATCAACTGCTCTTAGACAAAGAAAGAGGAAATACATAGTATTTGTGCTCTGCAAAACTGAATGGGTTACTCTTTTTTTCCTGCTCCGTGCTAACCAGGTAGTTGCTGCTTTCCTCTGTATGTTAACAAGCATTGAGAAAAATCAAATGGCTGGCATATTCAGTGAAGGATCTTAATCTTATTAATCTAATTCATCCCTTGCCTTCTACTTGCTGCTTTGTGTCCAACTTTCTGCTTGCCCCAGTTCTGTCTGTCATTCAGCTACACCAGTGTCACAAGCTGTGAGTTTCTGAAAGGGCATCATTCACCCAACTGAGTGAAGCCTTAGTGATGGGCGCAAACAAACTGCCAGGCACAGCACATAACTCAATTTCTGGCTAAGAGGAGAAGGGCTATCAAACTCTCAGTCACTCTGGGGTCAGACCTCCATGACCTCCACCTTCTTCTGTCCACATGCATACAAATGCTTTGGAAAGGGGATATCTGTTCCACATCTATGACTTCTATTTCAGAGGTTTCCCTAGCCTCCCTAAAACTGTTATAGGTTTGTGGGCTTTTGCTCTGCACAGACTCACTTCTATCTCCTCAGATTAATTTCTACTTCTTTTAGGTGGATACCATTTTTCAATCAAAAGAAAAAAAAAGAAAGCAAACACTCAGCCTTGAATGCAGGAATGTGGGCAGATCTGGTCTTTAAGTGGCTTTGGACCCCTCATCCTCATAAGCAAATGGAGTCAGCAGAGAGAATGAAAAAGAGCACTGAAAAAAATGCTGGAGAGGAAAAGACTGCTAGGTTGGGAGAAAAGAGTAGGGCAATATCTAGTTATTCATCTGAGCAGTTTATTCAACATGCTTAGAGGGAAAGATGAGGGCAGAGTAAGCAGGGCTCTGCAGGAATTGGGGAAGTCTTTTGTTTTCATGTAGACAGGAACAGTGACAAAGTACAACTAGCAAGAATGGAGCAATAAAACACTTTAGAAATTATATATCTTGTATTTGCTGAGTCCTGATACAGGATTTTCAGTCATCCTACTAAAATATGCAGCCCCTGTTTCATACACCCTTTCTCCTTCCCAGCTTTCAAGTGTCTGGAGATTTACTGCAGCAAAAGTATTTAACAGTCTGCTTTTCTCTGCCTCTATCACTACTGAATTCCTTACAATCAGCATTTTCAGTTAAAACTTTAATGGGAGGTAAGAAATCCTTAGGGATGTTTAAAGAGAGCTACTGAAAAATAAAATAGGCCATTTCACTAACCCTTTCTTTCCTTTGCCCTTTGTACTTGTAATTAAATAGTAGGTAATAATGCTCTCTCTGGCAGTCAAGAAAGAACTGATCCTACACCAAGCAATACAGACAATCACTGCATTGATGTCTATGTGACAGGTTATTAGCCTGCTCTTGGGCTAGTCAACACAAGGAGTCCTCACATTCTTCTCTGGAGATATATAAGTAGGGGACAGCTATCCTGTCCCTTTGGGGTTATACATCCAGTAAAACAAGACTTGAAAACGCAGGTGATGATGGATTAGAATAGCTTTTTCAGCAATCTTCCACTCCTAAGATTCAGTGCAAAATGTGTCGTAGGCCCCTACACCAGTAAGTTCATCTAGGGCCTCAAAAAGGCTGCCTTTCTTATTTCAGAAAGTGAGATGACATCCCATTTCCTCTGGACAGGGATGGAGGTTTGGCTCACTGATTCTTTAGAACATCCCTGGTGTTTCATGCATCTGTAACTAAGGTCTTCTTTCCCCTTGAGAGCAAACGTTCATCAACACAGAGCAAAGAAGGCGTGAAGGGTAGCAAGGGTGAGAAACCATGAGAAGGATCAGAGGCAGGAGGGGAGGTTCAGAGCATTAGGTTCATGTCTATTAGGAGGAGATGGATATGCGCATTTTTGAGTTAGACCACGGAGCTGTACACTGCAAGATGGGGAAGGCGGATGGGTTTGAAAACAAGCACTGAAGCTTATGAAAAGGTCATGTATTGAAGGGAATACATTTAGAGAAATATATTTATGGAGAAGGCACTGGTTTGTGGCATCTGTGTGCAGCACTGTAACAGCCAAGTATCACGAAAGAAGTCAAAACTGTGAATGCAATTGAATACAATAAGCGCTAAAAGGAAGAAACAGAGCTAGAGACAGACACAAAAATGTAAAAGGAAGCTGGGCAAGTGTTTTGTATCAACCTTCACAGTCCTCAGTATTTCATTTGCTATTCTTAGGAAGTCTGTCTGACATTGACCTAGCCCCAATGGTGTCACCAGCTTGAGAAGCCAAGTAGAAGCAGAGCACCCAGGTAAGAGAGGAAAGAGAAAATGAGGCGAATCATCAGGCACCAGAAGTGACACCAGAAAAGGATGCACCTTGCAAAGACCCTGCTCTGGCCTTATAAAGATCCTCAGTCCTCCACAGAACATAACAGGACATGGTGAACAAGCAGCTTCAGGACAAGCCTGGAGGCTTCAGCTACTGATTAGAGCCCCAGTTACTGATTAGAGCCTGCTGTTTTGTAACATTTTAAGACAGTCAGATAAGGGCTTGGTCCTGTTTTCATTGAAGCAAACAGCAACATTCCCACTGACTTAACAGGAAGCAAACCCTGAGGCACTTCCCTCTCCTGTGAAACCATCACTCTCAACTCTATGTATTTTTAATGCACTAATCCTTGTGGTGATGAACACAAAGTTGCACAAAACAAATATGCCATCTGTGGGATTATCCTCTGCTTTTCCTTTCTGTATAGCCTGAGAAATTTTGGGGTTTTGCATATTTAGTTTGGGCTTTGGGAGAAAATAAATCAGAAAACATAGGTCTCCACTGGAAATGGAGATGCCTTTTGTAAACCTGACCTCCCTTATTCCGTCCCTTGTTGCTTTCACATCCTTCCTGTCTTCTGCCTGCCTCTGCTTCTGAGATTTTCTTCCTGTACTCATTCCTCACTCTTTATCCCTTGTCTTTTCATCCCTAGCTTGCTCTGTGTTTTGATAGCAGCTGTGGTGAATCACATAACAAAAATTTTACTCCTTTCCTTTCACATAAAGCATTAGAACATTCTCTTAATGGGTGATAATCCATTCCCTTTCAAACCCATTTTGCTGGCAGAGTACTAGCCCTCTTTGTTAAGACTAGACATTTTTTTCCTTTTTGCTTGGTTTCTGTTGACAGAGTCCCTCCTGCCTTCAAAAACAAATGACTTAAAATATAGAACCCACTCCAAAAGTATAAGCAGTGAAAG